TGTGTGTGGAGCTTGCCAAGCACATTGTAGGATTTGAAGAAGTTGATGAAGAGTTTGCTCAGGAGTCAGGTGGTGAGGAGACATAGCAAGACACTTACACAGCACACACATTAACAGCACTACTAAACCATTGTCTTATACCATTTTACATTATTATTTCTCTTTTAAAATTAATTGATACATGATAGCTCGACTGGGCGACATTTGCACTTAGACAACCGCTCAATGAATAAACCAGGGTATATGGAGACTCATTATACACTAGTGATGTCACGAAGCTTCGAAACTACAACTACAACTTATGAGCAATCACATAAATTATCACAACCTGTACTCAAATGTACTAAGTTAATTACTAAAATTATTATGTCTAGTGCAAATTAAGGGTTGTTTGTGCTCGAATTATTCACTTTTTTGCAAGAATTCCAGCAATGCAAGGTATATTCTCCAAAGTCAAGTTAGTGGCATTTTATAGGTGAAAAAATAAAACCCCTCTGCCTTTCATAATCCATGGGTATGATAATGATTAATGAGATGAATTTTGTTTTAGGCTTAAATTTTCTCTTATATAATGTCACAGACTTGACTGAAGATAATATAACTTCCATTGCTGGAATCCTTGCAAAATAGCGATTAATTTGAGTATAAACATCTCATAGTTTGCACAAGAGACAAAATGTTTAATCCTTTGGCATAGTACATTGAGTGCAAATAAGTACTGTAATATGCTTCTCAAAATTTTGTCTTATTAACAGGGAAAACTGGTCAGGATATTATGGTATCGAATGTTATGGAGTATTTCAAATAAATTCTTCTACCAGTCCCCTTCACATATAGTAAAGTACTTATTTTTACCTTCTAATTCAGCTTTTTATTTAAGGATATCATATTGGAAAGGTCTCATCGAGGATCATTATGGTTTCAAATTCATCTCTTTCGCACAAATACAGTAAAGTTTACAATGTTTGCTGTGGGCTAAAAGTGACTGTGCCACCCCCCTCCTCCAAAGGGTCGCCTCACTGTTTGTCTACTGTACTGACTCATTCATGATACAATATTGTTTATTTGTTTTTCATTAATTAGTAAAGATAGTTACTGTATTAATATGTGCTTATTAATACCTGTACCCTTCATATACAATACAGTATAGTACTATGTATATACCTCATAGGTAAAAAATGTCATTCAAGACATCCCCATCCAACACTGGGTGACCCACTATATTGCCAGATTCTGGGGGTCACTAATTCTAAGGGGATAACTTAACTCTACTCTTAATTTTAAGGTCGCTGCCACCAGACCACCCTGGACAGTATGTAGCTCGTTAGGTAAAGGGCAGAGTAAGCTTGGCATTGGGTTGGGTTTTTCATTGACCAAATCGAGAGTAGGAAGAAGGGTGAAACATCAATCATGACTTAACTAATTTATTCCTTATAAAAACATATTGCATCCGATCACAATACAAAAAGCTGGCCTTCATCAGAAGAACCACTACAGGGTATTATGTTCATTACACTTCACATCAATATATGTCCTTAATCAAATAACTACTATTATCTTCGTTCTTCATAACAACCAATGACCTCCTTACCTCAGTCATTCTTTCTTACCATAACACCCAACACATCAGACTGCACCACATGTTGTAGCACCACATCTCATATACACTCCACACCTACCAGTATGGAACTCCTTGGTATTCTTAGGTACACATATCAGGTACCTCGTTCACACTCTACTCTTGCTGAGTAGATAGGATACTTCTCAAGTAATCATACCAGTACTGGTTCCACACCTGGTATTATTTGGTCTCTCCACTTGGCGGTGATATGGGTGGTGATGTGTAGGGTATCCACAGATTCACCGTGGGGGTGCATCATGGCCATAAGTAGACACACCACACATGGTGAGTTCCTCACTGGTGGTAATGGCCGACTCTGGACGCGTGGATACCTGTTTTGGTGAGAGAGCGGGTATCACTAAGGAAGATGCCCCGCGTCTCTCACTGAACTAGGCCTACAATTTCCAATCTTTAATTTTCACTTTGATTTATTCTGGTTCTCACATCTACACTTTCCTATCTATTGTGACCTTATGCCTTATATTTATATATTTTAATCCTAAATTACATACTTAAGTAAGGATCTGGTTTGCCAGTTCCTGGGAAAATTAATTGGGCTATATCATTAACTCAAAACTGTAGCCCGGGGCAGAATGGACGCCAACATCGAACAAAGCCTAGCGTCGTATTTTCACGGCGTGGGTATATCCACTTCACTTCAATCTGTATTTAGGGATCCTCCCCTCACATGATGCAATCGTTGAAAACAGTCATAAGATTCTCTAATCATTGCATTGTTTGTGGTTATTCATCACATGAGATAACGAGGTGTATTAAGCTCACACCGAGGCATACAAGATATTTTCTTTGAATTACAGTATAGTTTCTGGATCACTTCCAACACTTCACATAGGTCTGATACATTTATCCCTTTTCCAGATCACTGTTCTCTTATATTTTCATCTGATACCTGCAGTAGCTATGTTCACTAATCGTTCACAAACGTAAATAGTATGATCTTCAAACACGATCTACACTTATCTCTTATAGTACACTAGTCCGTATCATTTGGACCTTCCCAATCATCCTATAGATACCTTGAGTTCTCCTTAATGCGGTGAGTACATACACTTCATATTATATGACCGTACCTTGGTACAATTCTTATAAAACAACACACAGTAGGTGAGTTATCCTTTACCAATGTTTCCCGTTTTCTGTGACTCTACAGCGCAGTGGATTTTAATATTATGTAACGTAATATGAATAAAAGGGATATTAAGGATGACAATGATGTGCGCAGTAGTACACCACATTGCTTCAGGTCAGGTTAGTAACATGACCCAATAATCTCCCACCCAACCTTCATCACATGTGTTAAGACATTTGTTATGTATTACATTCAATTGAGTGAAGCATCTGCCTATTCTAGGGTAAAGATGACAGGATCAGCTGGAGTACAATATATACAGTATACAAGAACACTTGCCAACAGTGCGTAACAAAGACTAACAAGCCGATCAGTGGTGAAGAGGATAAAAGTAACACAGCTCTATTCATTCCCGTATCATATAGAGTTTTTTTTTAAATCTAATTATTAAACCAAACTTTTAGATAAAGTATTCAGGATTATTTTCATAAAAAATGGTGTGGCTAACAAAATTAGAACTGATTTTACTGACTCTGGTATCAACATTTCTCACATTTTTTTTTATAAAAGAATGAAATTCCTTTCACTGTATCATATAGAAATATTTTGTTAAAGGATATCTTGTTGAAAATATTTTGTAGAGAATTTATTAAGTATCATTATAGTATCAAATTCATCTCCCTATCACAATTAGCCACACTTGAGTGAGGAAGGGGGGGCTGACACAATTTTGCAGCTTGAGTAAGGAAGGTGGGGGAGACGTGACCCTACCACCCCAAAAAGGTTTGCTTCCGTCAACACACACCAACACCACCCACACATCACACATACACCCCTACATCACACACAAACACACCCTCCAACAACCACCCACACACACAACCATCACCACCCTCACCCCACATCACCCACACCATCACCACCCTGACACATCACTCACTCCCCCAACATTACACACACACACACACACACACACACACATACATACATACATACATACATACATACATACATACATACATACATACATGCATGCATACATACATACATGCATGCATACATACATACATACATACATACATGCACTCATGCACACACTCACACACTCACACATTCACACACTCACACATTTCAACACCACTCACACACCTCCCAACAAGGGAATTAAGACAGCAAACATAAGGAGTGAAAGTCTTATTGTATGACACATCTACATGTGTGAGACTGTATGGTAACAAGTTAAATATCAGCTGGTGAGGAGCACTTGGCAACACTCATTTCCACTCCATCTCTCTAATTACCCACACCTTTCTGCTTTCTTACTCCATATTTCAAAATGTTATGTAACGTAATGTTGAAAGGATACAACTTGGCTCATTTATTCTTATATCTGTACTTACCACAATATCTCTAAAAATACTTTAAGTTTCATGTTTATTCAAGACATCTTCAGGTCATGAAACCCACTAATTCTCCACCCAAGAAAGGGTGACCTGACAATCCATCAGGTCAGTAATATGATACCACTAATCCCCCATCCTACCTCCACCGGACATTGCATCAGGTCAAGTCAGTTACACGATACCAACTAATCCCCCACAGCTCCATGGCAGTGGAAAATAGCAGTCTTTGCTGTAACACACAGCTTCATTCATGCCCAAACTTTTCGATAAACTATTCCGGATTATTATGGTAAAGAAATGAAGTTTCTAACTTAATTAGAACTATATTTACAGATTTCAGTAGTTTAGACTCAAGGAAAACATCTCTAGCTTCCTAAAACGTTCTGGGGAAGTGGGCTAGTGTGTTTCTCTGCAAGATGTCTAGTTTAGACACTCGGAAACTTTTCCCAGTAACCGGGATAAGGAATTTTTCCGGGTTTGAGAAAGTCGTCTCGTAAGCCGGAAATCTTTCATCCCCGGAAGTGCTCTGCACCAATTGTTTCGGCTAACAGGGATATCATTGTAAATAAAAATTATTTTCTGAGAAAAATGCCAGAGCTTGATGGGACCTAAAACTGGAAAAGAAAAAAATTACCTGGTAACAATTGAGACTCCATTTATTTCTCTTACTAACAGTATTACTATTACAGCTTTGTTGAAATTAGCCATTGATACTGAATATGCTATGGTTATTTTAAAATTAAATTTTCGACTTGTGAATTTTCAGTCATATTTTCATTATTAGGTGGTGTTCAGAGCATTACCTTATGTTATCTCACTTTATCTTTCACCTAAACTTAGTGGACAGAGGGGGGAGGGGGAATTTCTTTACCCCCTTCTCTATGTTTTCAAGTGCTAAAGCCGAAGAAATTACTGTGAATATTGAGATACTGAACTATGAAAATTGGAAAATGTTTCCATAGAATGACAATTTTTATGAACAAGTCCGAGCTTGAGGGAAGCTTATGAATTGTGTTTAAGTATTTGTATGCTTGTGCATTTACACAGACTGAGGCATATTTTGCAGGTTAGATCAAAATTTCATTATACAAGTTGACAATCCCTTATCCGAAATCCTTGGGGCCAGAGGCATTTCAGATTTCGGAATTTTTCGGTTTTCAGAATGGTTTTTTTTTTTTTTTTTTCCTTCCCCTCTCTCCTGTAAGCCCACCCGGGCATAGATCGCTGACCCACATCAGGGCCTGGGAGGGGCGAAAATATTATTATTATAATATTATAATACTTTACGCGGTTAATTCAACCCACAGGGTACCACGGAAAGTGAGAAACGCGTAAAGTGAACAACATAACATATGGGATTAATTGAAATAGACCCCGGCTGACCCCCAAACTCCACTTTTTCTGACACAATACCTATGTTCTAGTAAAAATAACATCTTAATTTTATGATGGTACATGCACACAATTAATACTTAAGAGAAATAGAGAAATACAGTCGCCAAGTTAATGTCCATTCAAATAATGGACTCAACTCCTTCCCCCTCTTCTCACACTACACTCACTGGCTCTTCCCTCTCTGAGAAATTTTTTGGGGAAAACCACTAGATTTTAAGGTACTGTATAGTAATAAATAAAACCTCAAACTAAAGTTAGGATAATATAATTGACATTGCTGGATTCCTTGTAAGACCAGGAATATTTTGAATATAAATGTCATATATTTTGCACAAAAGATAACATATTTATTCAGAGTAAACAAAATACTTAATTAGATCTAAAATTTGTATGTCTAATGCAAAATCTATGATGTTTATATTCAAAATGATCATCAAATTGTAAGAATTCCAGCAACGTAAATTATATTCTGGCCGGATAATTTGTATGAATTTTATGAGCTAAATAAAAAAATTATACTTCACCCGCGTAAAGGTACATGCACCGCGGAATGTGAGCATCCCGGGTTCTGGCAGGGTACCGCGTAAACGTGGAAACGCGGAATGTGGGACCGCGTAAAGTGAGGGTTGACTGTAATAATAATAATAATAATATTAATAATAATAATAATAATAATAATAATTATGATAATAATAATAATGCTGTAATAATAATTCATAGGTCTAGATCGCATTTCTCTATTTTGATCTTTTTTTTCATTCTTGTATTTCTTTATTATTATTACTATTATTTTATTACAGTATTATTGTTATTATTATTATTATTAATTTTATTATTATATTTTATTATTACTATTATTATTATTGTTATCAGTATTATTTTATTTTGGTGTACAGTATTTTAATTAAAAATTTCATTTACTATGAATAATTATTATTATTATAATTATTATTACTATTACATTTTCGCTGTATTATAGAATTAAGCCTTTTTGTATTTTTAGCATTAGCTATACCTGTACAATCTTTGACATTTAAATTTAAACTATGTGGATTATTTAGAGGAAAATGGAAATAACTGGGCAAGGAAAATGTAATTTAAAACTCTTCTATTCAGATGGTGAATTAGTCGTCCGAGACCAGGGCAGTGTGTGGGTGAGCCGAACTTCACCTCAGTTGGATATGGTTGGAGCGGGGGAGTGGGGATGGGGAGCTTATACTAGCATCGAGGGCTTACCTGATACAATAACTGCCATGTGTTGCGTTGGAGAATATGTTTGGCTTGGAGATAATGCTGGCAATATCCATGGTTACAAGTAAGTTTGAGTCTTTTATTAAGCACTATGTTTGGTTATTGGTAAGTACATGTAGAACAGACTTACCTTTACTCTTGTAGGGGTGGTATCTTTTTTTTATCATGCTTTAATCCTAATTATTCTTTCCACTGCTGTGTGTTTCCAAGATCATTTCTTTCACAATGTATACTTACTTATATTGTGATCGGTGGGCTTATCTGGGAAACCCCTTTGTACTGTACCATCTTCAACATTCTTTCATATTTTTATATACAGTATAGTCTGGTTTTACGTGGTTAATTAAACCCATGGAGGTCCGCGTATAAAGCGAAACGCATAAATGAAATAACAGAAGCTATGGGATTAATGAAATAGAGACTGGGCCGACCGCCATTGTGTAGAAAGAAAAAAAAGCACTGGTTCCTCGGCATGAGTGAATATACGCGGAGACAGTGAGACTGACGTGGAGGCGGAGAGTAGGGGTGGCAAGGATGCCTAGACCAATCACAGCGAGCGGCGGAGGGGGTGCGTGGGTGGTAAGGATACGTGGCCCAATCACAGCCTGCAATGTCACCGGAGCGAGTCTGACGTCAGTGCCCAGCACCTCGCCTGCTGCTTGCCGCATACATGATGGAATTTACCGTGTAAATAAGAATTATTTCTTCTGACAAGTGCCGCGTAAAACCAGACTATACTGTACAGGTATATATTTTTTTTCGGACATTAGTCCACCCGGGCACAGGTAATTTTTAATAACCCACATCAAGGCCTGGGGGGCGAAAATATAACAAAATAATAATAATAATGATGATAATAATAATATAATAATAATAATAACAATAATTATAATAATATAATAATAATAATATTAATAAAATATATAAAAATAAATAACAATTATAATAAAAGAATATATTAATAATTCTAATAAAAATTAATACAAATTATAAATAGTAATAATAACAATAAAGAGCCATAAATAAAAACAAAAATTAAAAAAAGATATCAAGAGTGAGAAATGATATACAGTGGTCCCTCGGTTAACGAATACAATTCGTTCCAGAAGGTCGTTCGTTAACCGAATTCATTGTTTCAATGGGATATTGGGTAATTAGTTCCAGCTCACCGAAAAATACATACAAAGTAAAAAAAAAATGCAGTAAAGTACACTTACTTTGAGGTGTGTATGTAGAAGGCTCCTGGTTGATGATGACGATGGGAATTAGAAGTGGGGATGGAGGAGAAGGGAAAAAAGAAGGAAGTGGTATGGAGGAAAAATCACCTTCTTTGGACCCATGCTTCATGCCTCATTTCACCAATAAAATTTTAAGTTCAGTAGGTGTAATTCAAGATTATTTTCTTTAAATCAACACTGCACTGCACTTTATGTTTTCAATATGTTAACTAAAGTTCAGAATGACCAATAATTTCAATGAAAAATGCAAAAATATTCAAGACACCAACAAAATAGATGTTCACTCCACTGTTTTCAAAGCCCAACTGACACCTTGTAGCCGACTCACGCATCTGATGGGCGAACAAAAAACTAGTTCCCTGTACTGCATTTATTATCAATATGTTGAATAAATGTCAAAATGACAAATAATTTTAATATAAAACATTCAAAAATATTAAAAAGCTGAAATTTAGTGATATTTAATCCATTGGAAACGAATTTAAACTTAGAACAGATTACTGAATTGGCAGACTGGGCCATCAGCTGATTCTCACAACAACAAACTGGTATGTTAGTTCCCTGTACAGTACTGCATATATTATCAATATTTAATGTTAAAATGACTAATAATTTTAATATAAAACATTCAAAAATATTAAAAAGCTCAAATTAAACGATATATAATTCATTGGAAACGAATTTATACTTAGAACAGATTACTAAATTGGCAAACTGGGCCATCAGCTGACCAGCTGATGCTCACAACAAAACGTGATTTTCGTAAGGATTTCGTTAATCGAATTTTTTTCGTTAACCGAATTGAAGATTCTTATGGAAGGTAATTCGTTAACCAAAATTTCGTTAACCAAGGGACCACTGTAGATAAAATACGGGAGTTACGTTCCTGAGCCTCCCTTTGCCCCATGAAAAAAGTTACGTATACAGAAAATTATTGCCATTTCTATAGAGAATAGTATATAGAACTATAGTACTAAGTTTGTATTGGTACTCACCGATGGACGGAGGTGGTAGAGCGAGTGTGTAGTGGGTAGTGGAGCGAAGGAGGAGGGTGGGAGTGGAGGAGGAGGGTGGTGAGTCACTGAGACTCTGCGGCTGCCTCCTCCTCCTCTGTTGTTGTTTGCTCCTCCTCGGCTGCTGGCTGTTGTGAATAAGCTCCTGCCGTTTCACAACAAAAAAATTAATCCAGTGTTGACTGCTTGGTGCTACTCATCTTCTTCTACTTATAGATCTCGGTGTAGTAACCAAGACTGTCCTCATTACTGCGTTGAACCTTTGAGCTACGTTCTCTGTTTGGGTAATCATCTAGAAGCATTTGCATTGCTTGCTGGAACTTGTTCAACGATTCTGCCAACCTTTTTGAAGTTAGCGTTCGTTGAGTTTCTTCTTCGTCGTCTTCTTCAACGGGACTGTGTTCTGTTAGTTGTTGCAAATCTTCTTTGGCGAGCTCTCCTGTATGGGATGCCAGGGCGTCCTCAATATCCTCTGATTCCAGCTCATCAAAGCCTGCCTGTCTATCCAAGCTGAGGATATCCCTATTCACAGCTGGGACTAAGTCCGTGAATCCCGTAAAACTGTTGACGCACTCGGGCCACAGTTTATGCCACGCACCATTCAGACAACTTTCTGAAACCTCTTCCCATGCCTTGTCAATGTTATCAATTGCATGAAGAATGTTGAAGCCACGCCAATATTCTCGGATCTTTGGTTTATTTTATCCGTCTGTAGCCTTGAGCAGCTGGACCATGGTAAAGCAAAAATAATACGCCTTGAATGCAGTGATGATGCCTTGGTCCATAGGCTGCATCAGTGCTATCAGGTTTGGAGGCAGGAATACAACTTTTCCACTGTCATGCAAGTCATCGAGATTGGAAGGATGAGCTGGAGCATTGTCAAGGATCAGAAGAATTTTGAAGTTAAGGTTCTCCTTGGCACAGTATTCCTTCAGCGCAGGGACAGCATACACGTTTGACCACTGGCTAAATATGGCACCGGTTATCCGTGCCTTTTTTTTGCCTTGTAAATGACAGGAAGGTGATCCTTAGAGTAACCTTTCAGGGCCCGTGGGTTGGCAGTGCAAGAAATCAACATAGGCTTCAGCTTGAAGTCACCGGCAGCTTTTGCGCTAAGCAGCAGCGTCAAGCGGTCTTTTGCTTCTTTAAAACCTGCTGCTCTTTTCTCCTCCTTGGAGATATAGATCCTCTCAGGCATCCTCTTCCAAAAGAGACCAGTCTTATCCACATTGAAGACTTGCTTCGGTGAGTAACCTCCTTGCTGGATAATCCGTTTGAATTTTGGCGGGAACGTCTCGGCAGCAACTGTATCTGAACTGGCAGCTTCACCAGTCATCTTAATATTGTGGAAGTTATAACGATGCTTAAATCGTTGAAACCATCCTTGGCTGGCCGTAAAGGTCTCTTCCTTCAATCCTTCACCCTCTTCTGCCTTTAAGTCATCAAACAGGGATCTGGCCTTATGCTGGATAACCGTAAGGCTCACAGGGGCATTGCGTTGATTCTGGTCCTCCATCCACATTGCCAGCATCTTTTCCACCTTCTCTATCACAGTGCTTCTAGTACGAGTCGTCTTAGTAGCACTCAGAGAAGAACCACTTCCAGCACTAATCTTAATCTTGTCAGCGTTGGTCCGGATAGTACGCACTGTTGTGGGGGCTAGACCAAGCACAGCGGCTATGTCCACAGCATGTACCCCTTTTTCAAATCGGGTTAATATATCCATTTTTGTAGCAATAGTAATGGTCTAATGTTGCCTCTTCACTACACTAGCATCAGTACCACTTGATGGGCGCTTGGAAGCCATTTCGAATGGTTAGAGCACAGTTTTAGAGCAAAAACACTTAAGCACGCACGAATGATGTGAAATCGTAACAAGAGACTGGCTTGGCGTTGCTTGGGGACGCTGTGACGTTCTGCGAGTGAGGGCAGCGCGCCGAACCAAGAGAGCGTAGCGTGGCCAGACATGACATGAGCGGGTGATGTGCCATAGAAAGTTGTCCGCTACAGCGCAAAATGACGTAGTATCGGATCACAGGGACGTTAAACGAATTTTTGGTCTCTAAAGTTCAGCGACGTAGTACCGAAACAACGTTAAGCAGGACGACGTTAAGCGAGAACTTACTGTAGTTTAAATTACCACCTGCAGTATCTCGGTAGAAAATACCAGCTCAAGGGTAATATTCTACAACAGGGATACAAGACTATAATAGTGCCCTCCAACCCTCTCATCAACATTCACAATTGTACGAATATAGTTTATAGCACCCATAAACACTTCAAAACTATTCACAAGACTGTGTTATTCTTGTGTGGTGGCGGGGCGGCGGCAGTGGCAGTGGTGATGGTTGTCACAATTACAGCTCACTGTCTCAGTATTGTAATGATGTGCACTTGGAGCACAGAATCCTATTTTTTTACTTCCCTCCCAAATATTTACCAGTGAGTCATAGATCACTAAACCAAGAAATTGTAATTGTTAAATGAGAAATGGTGATATTGTAGTGGATTTCTCCCCTACAAACGCTGTTTGTCGCTGAGTAGCCGACCCCGCGAATTCCCCAGTGTATGCCTCGTGCTATAGGTCAACCAGCGCCGCCTTACATGACGGAGGTCAACTATTAAGCCACACCTACCTCCACTATATTAGACCTGACCTCGTGGTGTCCTGGCTCTTTCTACCTACACCAACCAGCAAGCAACACCACCTCCTCCACTCCTGCCTGGCGGCCGTCGCTCCCGCCGGAGAGCATGGCGACCCACAAGCTGTCCTCCTCTGAGCATCCTCACCAACCAGCTCTCTCTACATCACGCTTGTAACCACGCTGCCACTTCCCAGCACCAAGCTGCATTGTACATCCAATACAACATGTATACAGAGAGCACATTGTGAGTTTCCTTTCTCCATCCCATCCTGAGTGCGAACCAAACATCTCGTACCCCACAATATAAATTTTAAATTGCTAAACCGAGAAATTTTTAATTGAATGACCGTTAAACAAGTGTCACCTGTATTTTCATTTGGACTAAAACTCTTTGTCAAGATAGCCCAATGGTATGTTCATCCTGTAGAAAATGCTTGAAGTTTGTTCAGCAACCCCCCCCCCCCAAAAAAAAAGTTATTACTTTACTTACAGATAACGGCTAACACTGTGTACTCTGACCAGGTTTAGTGAATGCGCAGTGCAGGTCGCTAATCTGACTTTCAACTGTTTCTCTTTCTATTGACAACACACCATACATACTGTACAGTATATCATTTCTCACTCTTGATTTATTTTTTCGTTTTTGTATTTATTTATGATTATTATTATTTTTATTATCATTAATATTTTATTTTTATTTTTTATAATTTTTATTTTATCATTAATTTTTATTAATTATTATTATTATTATTATTATTATTATTATTATTATTATTATTATTATTATTATTATTATTATTATTATTATTATTATTATTATTATTATTATTATTATTATTATTATTATTATTATTATTATTATTATTATTATTATTACTACGTACTATAATAATATTTTTGCCCCCTAGGATCTGATGTAGGTCGGTGACCTGTGCCCGGGTGGGCTAATCCCGTAAAAAAAATATATATATACGTACTGTACTGTACATCTTTGATTTATCTTCAGAGACCTTGATATCTACCCAACATATTGGCAACATTGTCATAGGATTGGCTGCAGCAATTTTGGATATCTAAGTCCAGTTTATTCAATGTGTCTAAAACCTGATTACTTTCTCCTGTGTTACTACTGATGGGAATATAAAGCAAAAATCAATCTACTGGTGAATGAAAGTTGGTAATTTCTTGAAACATTAGTTGTAGAATCTAAACAAATTGAGTAGTACTTTGCACTTTTTGAAACATTAGTTGTAGAATCTAAACAAATTGAGTAGTACTTTGCACTTATAACTTTTTTTGCAAACTGTTGACAAAACCTTTATGCTTATTATCATAATGAGTTCATCACAAATGGTTGACCTGATATGACTTAAAAATTATTTGTTTTATTTCCAAACTGTGAAATTTTATATTAGTTCTAGAATACATTGGTAGCTGCCATCATGTGATCCTATTATATGATCAGTTCCTCTTAATGCCAATTCACGCTCAGTAAGAAATTTTATCATTTCTACCAAACGCTTGATGACAAAGTCCACTGTCAATACACCCATCTATGTTTGCTCTCTGTACTTAGGCTAGAATTGTTTTCTGTGATCTTATGAACTTTTGTGTTATCTTAGAGCTCGGTTGATGTGTGTCCAGTCATTGAATCCATGCATGAATGGTGAGCTTGTACCAGAGAAGAGCAAACATGTGAAACAGTAGTTAAGCTTGAGACTTGGAAAACAATAGGCTTTCTCAATTTACTGATTCTCCATTACTCAAAGCGTAAAAGAATGCCGATTTAAGAGAGAAAACGATATCCCTGATGCTCACCTGAACCATACGTTCTTAGTGTTTCTTTGAAATCTGAATAATGATGCTGACAAGTATCTGCTACTCCACTAAATAGGGTTCATTGTACAAGCACAATATTAAAGCATTCTTTTACTAACCCTGGGTATCCAGTCAGGGATCTGTCATTTGTATCGAGTGACCTCAAGTGACTTTTGCTGTTGATTTTTATCTAGTGCTTCTTTATCTGAACAAAACCCTTAGGAAAGTTGTGATTTTTTTGTATGATGTTGAATAATCAGAAGTTTTTGGAATGAGATAAACAATACCATGAATAAGTTCAAATTATTCCCCGCAGTATCTAAACCAGTGCAGAGCACTAATTTACTTTTTTCTGTTTTAATGTATTTATAGTCTTCATTTGATTATATAGCTCATCCCCGACTTATGATGGGGTTAGGGACCCAAATCCAGGTCGTAAGTCGAAATGGTCTAAGTCAAAAATGCTTAAATAATACATAGAAATTCTAAAATGGGTGTCTCTTTTTCTTCTCAGCACCACATAACTCTCACTTTTGAGCTTGCCAGCCATTTTAAAGTGAATTACAAACAAAAAATTTCTCTGTGTACTGACGTTGGGACTCGAAAATACGTAAGACAAAATTTTGGTATGACTGAGGCAGGTCGTAAGTGCGAGTGGTAGTAAGTCGAGTAGGTCGTCAGTCGGGGAGGAGCTGTACATCTTTTATTTGTAGTTTGGTTGGTTTTGGCAGTGAGGGTCTGAAAATCTGCCCTCAGATTATTTGCATTATACACCATTTCTTTGGAATGAATTCCTTTTGTATAGTGAGATACAGCCTTTATTGTAATAGTGCATCATTTATAAAAAGCCCTTGTAACTGTTCTCAGTTATCTTAAAATTTTGTTTCTAAAGTTCCTTTAAAAAATTTTTATTACTAATTTAGAAATATTCATAAGTTTTTTCCTTTTATAAATTTACCTTCATTAGTTTGAAACATGGCCCCCTAATGTATGTCCATTTTCATTACTTTTTACATGTTTACATATTATATGGTAACTTTTACCAAATCTGTATTTCAGTTAATGAGCTCTGGATGAGAAATTTGATGAATATTTTATTAATTTTCAGCATGGTGGATTATGGGCGTGTGTTCAGCTACTGTCTAGAGCCTGATGCCCCTCAGTCATCCCCAGTTCGATCACTGTGTAGTCTTCATGCTCTTGGAAGAGTGGCTGTTGCTCTGTGTAATGGACGCCTCTTCTTGTGTAGCTCTGATGTTACACCAACATCACCTGTGCTTGGAGAGGGAAGTTTTGTTATGACTGAACTGGCTGGTTCTACACAAGAGATTCACTGTCTTGCTGTTTCTCAAACTCAAACTACATGGTAAATAAATTTAAAGATAAAATAATGGTTAGCATTCCCAGGTATTATTACAGATTGATCTGTGGGTAATAAATTCTGATTCTTCATAAAATTATGTAATAACAATGGGTAACATTTGCTTAAAAATTATGTAGCTACACTTTCACAACCTTAAAGGGGGAGGTAGTAGGCAGCTACCAAACAGGGAGGTACTACCGCCTGGGAAGATATTGGAAGCATAATGTGTTGTCTAATGGTAGACCCTGCTGCCATATGGCATCACGAAAATTGTGACCTAGTCCCAGGTTGCTGATCTGACTTTCTGCCTCATTTACACACATTGCAGGGTCTCAATTGTTTCTCTTGCTTTGACAACTTCTTGAGCACAATCCGTTCTAGAAGGTTGCCGTTAACAGCTCGATTAACGAAACCATTGTTTCAATGGGTACT